GTTCAGAATGACATTCCCCATTCTTCTGGACTTCAAATGGGGTTTCAAGTGATTGGTGCCCAGGGCCCAAAACATTTAATGTTAGCACACTAAAATGACAAGCCACTCTTGAAAATGTTGGAATTAAATTCTCTAAGCATTATTTACATTTTCTATAAAACAGGACAGGTTTTACCTACCTAATAAGGTGTGGTATAGCTTGTTTAAGTAATGATTTAAGTAATTAGTATTTATGAGTGATTTGAGAACTTTTAGATGAAAAGTGTCATATGAGTAATATTCTCACCATTGCTATTAAACCTGAAGGCAGATGCCTCAATTACACTAAAGTAAATGCTACAATTTTCATTTATATTTATGAAATTGGGATTTAATCCATAAACATTATCATCCTGTTATGTAGAATATTACCTAACATGATAGAGAATCATATTGACCACTTGAATTGTGTTAGTCATTTCTAAAATATCTCAGAATACAATATCTCCATAAAAGTCACAAATATGCATTCTGCTCAAATTAGAGAGAGGATTATTTAATATAAATAAACCCCTCACTGCTTCAGTTTTAATTTTCACTGAGGTAGTATGATCAGCAGTCAAACAGTGATCATACAGTTGATACTTGCTATTCATGCCAGCCCTGCTGGCATGCCAACTTTTAGTCCTTATCCTAATCTGAAGTGCTGGGCTACACTTCACAAGAAGCAGCTAATCATTATTAATTCCTTTAGAATTCATTGCAATAACATCAATCATTGTGAACTCATTCGGTATTAATACGAATGTAATGTGAAAATGAATAATGCACACAGGAGTTTTTATATTCCTATTTTAGAAAAATAGTTATGAACAATGTATTTCTCTTTCCATTGTCAAATCAGAGCCACTGAGAGGTTTTCTATCAATTACCTTCATCATCATTCCAGCTGAAATCTTGTCAGAGCAAACATATTTCAAAGGATTATATCCAACTCCATTACAGCATTCCTCGCTCTTTGGAATAAGTTCAGTTTCACAGCATTTTACTGGCACTGGGTCATTCTTCTTAACATGTGCTTTAGACTCACCACTGGAAGCAGAACAGCATATGGTATCTGACATATTCACATATTCCTGTCCACAACAGAACATCCCTGCAACAGTAAAACATTATATATGAATAGGAAAAGGGGTGGGGGAGAAAAAAGTTATGAGGTTGCTCTGAAGTATAGTATAAAGATGAATGAGTGCGGCTGAGCTGGAACTGTGCATAACTAGATAGGGTCTAGATGCACTTGAAAACAATTAACAAAAGCAGATAGGGGTCCTCTGGAATCAGCTTAAAGCCCCTGAGCTGGTTACAAAGTATTTTACAATGCATTACATAGCAGGTCAAAGACAGGTATCAAAGAACAGCTAATCTACTATGTGGAAATTCATCCACCCTTAAGAACAACAACCTTTTGCTTGTAGGCTAGGGTATGTAAAATAGTAGCTCATTCACCTATAAATGGTCTTTGATCAAGACAGACAGATAACTAATGGTGAGATACCAATAACAATAGTCTTCTAACAAAAAAAGTCTTGAAGTATACTTATTTGTGCTTCTTTATTAGATTTGTATCTGGCCCCATCCAAAAGGCTCAGAGGTAGACTCATACTATGCATATAGCACTAAATAGGAGACTTTCCAAATACAAAGTATCAAGGTTCCATTCTCTAGGAACAAAGAGGTTACTACCTTGATTTATTTCTCATATCTAATTGGAATTAGTAACCTGAAAAATGGCATGCAATTTTTTTTTTACATAGTTTAATTTTCTTTTCAAATGAAAACTGTTTCTCAAGTGATGAGAAGGCATAAAGCACCCAAAAGCAGGGCAAATTTTCATACATTTTACATATCTATTTACAAGTTTGCTAAATCAATTGTTTTTAATTTGTCATTTCCCTCACCAGTCCCCCCACCCCTCCAAAAGAAAAAAAGGCAGGGATAAATTTAAACTCAGTCAGGTTATATTAAAATCTGTCATATTAGTAAAGTACAGTAGGAAATCTCATTAATAACATAACCATGATGGAATGATTGTACTGTAAGGAGAACAAGATGACAAAATAAAATGAAAGTCATAGTCAAACTTATCCATATTTGACTTAACCGCTGTATTCTCCTATTCAAACATTTCAATGGAAACTTGTGTCCCTTTACTGCCATATCTTGCAGCAGTTTTCTTTTAGGTAAAAGACAACAAACATTGCTCTTTCAAGGGATGATTCTGCAACCATTTACTCAGGTGAGTAGTTCCATCAAGTCACTGGGACTACCCAAGATAGTAAAGTGATAATAAAGTATGATGACCTTTTGCAGGATTGAGTCCTTCCATTGCAATCAAAATTGGAAAACCAGCCTTCTAACAGTTGAATTCTTCCCTCATCTACTTGTGCTACGGTGACACTACGTTTTAAGTAGAAAATAAATGCAGACACTGACCCAATTCAATACTAATAATCAGCCATCTGATAGCTCTGAGGGACTTTGACAGGCAAACTAAAATTTTGATAATGAACTGATTTCATATTGAAAAGTAAGGCTGCATTCTTTCTCTGAGAACCTCATCTTTGTTTAACTGAATTAAATTTTTCAGCCAAGATTTCACTAACATAACAAGAAGTGACTCCCTTTCTAGTTTCTTTGGTAAACCATTACTTCTTTAATTATTATCAACCTTGTTCCAGTGTGATAAATTGCTAATTACTTAATACCCTAATCAGCGTTCATTCTTTGCACAGATAAACTGTGACAGCGCCATTAATTTAAATAGTAATTTCACTTAATGGCCAGAACGGCACACCAGATTTTTATGCAGCATTTTCTGAAGACTGCATCCATCACTGCAATATTCTGACATAAAGATGTCTGACGTGCACTAACTCACTTAGGGAGAGCAGATGTTGCAGAGCAGAGTTTGGTAGTAATTCCCATAGTGCATCACTTCAGCATGAATGAGCTGCAAAGGCAGAGATAGACAATCTTCTGAAACTGCATTGCATAGCCTTTGACCCCTACCTAATTTATCACATGTAGCACTTGACTTTTGAACCTTGACACTGCAAATGTACAATTTTAAATATGCCCCAAGAAAAACAAAATAGGTCCATGTAATATTGATAGATTGATTTACCTTCCAAAATCTCTTCATTCGATTGCTGAAAGACGGAGAAGCTGCTGATTTTATCAAAATACTAAATATTTATTTGCAAATCGGCTGGAAAGCTTGTGTCATGTCATAAGTGTGTATGTTTTGGAGTTATATAATGCAATATATCGAAAAGAAAATGTATAGATTAGAAAAGTATTCCTTACTCACAGTGGTTTCTGTCAACAAATTGTTTCATGCTCATCCCTGCAACTTGAAAAGTTTACAAACATAGCTTGGTGATGAATTACTAATTTAGTAAATCTGCAAAACCAATGATTTCAAAAGGAAGAATGAGAATTAAAAGGCTTAAGCTTCCAAGCCAAAATAGAGGATCAACAAAATACAGAGCCAGTGTACACTGCAAGCTACTCCAGAAATATTTGGTTTGAAAGCAGGTATTGCAGCCACTACAGATTGGAAATCTCAGTTGTACAGAGCAGCATGTTTTGAGATCATGGCACGTCAGGGATAGTGGTAATTTATTAAAGAGAAAAGGGGAAATCAGGGTTGGTTTCTGTTTATTCTATGCCTGAAATCCAAGATCAGAAAACTTTGTCTGATTATATGCTGTGGTAGGGCTGAAAAGGATATATTATATGTAGTGGCATCATTGCCAGTGTTTGCCAGTAGATGTCTCTATGGTCACCCCAGCTACAAAGCCCAGCATGAGAAAGGGATAAAATAAAATAAAATAAAATAAAAAAGAAGATACTGAAAAAAATAATTTTATAGTAATCTGAGATGCAAAAGACTGCCTGTGATGGCAGAACTGAATCTCCCAAAAGACTAGATAGTAGCAAACAATAAATTAAGACCTTCCGTAGACAAATAAGCCTTGCAAACGCGGGTATAGAGTCTGCAGTCACAAGTTGATTTTAACTAGACTATTCATGTATGGTAAGTTAAAATATGTGAACAATTTTTTAACACTGTTGGAACATTTCCTGGCAATGTTTTCTTTTTCCTCCTTTCCCTAAACTCTTCAAAAACCTAAAACTTATCAATGAAAGAATTTGTTTGACACTACATTTTTAATCATAGTATCCATTGTCCAGGCACAAACCACAGCATCAAAAGCATTTCAGCTCTAAGATAAGGACAACCATATTACCTACATCTCTGGTAGACAATGGAAGCACTATACACTTAGCAATTTATCAATTAACATACTCTCACAAAATTCTATTCAGATATTTGCTGGGGATAAGTAAATTATGTTCTTAATGTGACAGTATGTTTTTTCATTACAATCATTATCATAATAGGGGTAGGGGGAAAGGAGATTTTTTGCCTGGCTGGTACATTTCATGATGGTTTTGCAAGCCTGAATGACTACAAGAAATTAAGCAAAAAGTATATTGGGTATGACATATGATATGATACAAAACTATGGTCTGTTTTATGTTTAATGCAACATAGTAAATTTTTTTTAAAATTGACTAGTTATGGAACAAATTCACATTTCAAATGTATATTTGTGCTCCGTTCTTTGTGCTTGTGGCAAACTGTGAGTTTGCAAACAGCAAAACTATGAGTGATGAAAAAGCTACTGTTTGCATTCTTTAATAGCCAAAAATGTCACCATAACCCATTCTAAAGAAAAATGGTATACATGATAGAGCAATATAGGCAAACACTTTAAAAAGAAGAAAGGTATAAAGGTATTTAAAATATATATATTTAAGTATAAAACTGTTAAGAATACATATACACTGAAATGAAGAACATAACTTTCATCCCAAGATACCTGTATTACACTCCTACACAACTCATCTGCCCAGAGAGAGCAGTAAAAACATAAACGCTACCCCAGCAGTTCTGTTCCAACAGCATCTGTTAATTCACTCCATTTATAAAATACATATTGACAAAGACAACTGAACTGGGACCAGGGAGATTTGATTTGGTGTGAGAAAGTCAATTCAATGTGATTTTGTTAAAGGGCTCCTGCAGGCAAATAAAAGAGTTTAAGTAATAAAGTACATAAAGAGATGTTTTACGAGCCAGTCCCATCTTGTGGCAGCCACACAATGCACTGCCGTGCAAGAAGGCCTGATTCAGAATTGATATTGCATGACTCCTGTGTTGATATGGAGCTGACAATTCAGGATTGGGATGATAAGGAAAAGAGGATGCTGGCTGCATGGATAAAAGAATACTCAACTAATTCACCATTGGAATAGAATGAAGACATTCAAGCTGGGGAAACATCTATGCTACAAATCTGGTTTAGCCTTTTTTGGAAATGGGAAATCCTACAAGCTGGAGGTAGAATACATGTGATGTTTTCTCAGCGGGGAGGGGGTGTGAATCAGGAAGGAACACAGGTGAAGGGCAGATAAGCTGGTGTTGCTGAGGAACAGAACATAGATTTCTGGCCTGACTTGTAATGCTTATTACCCAAAAACATAACAGCTATTATGAGCTCCAGTTTCAAATTAATATACCGAAAAGTAGGGGCTCACTGACACATGTATGCCAAACTGCTCTTTTAGGCACCAAAGTGCTCATTTAAGTGCATGAAAGTGGAACTGGGCACTTCCACTGTTTTATACCTAAAAACTGTGTTTTCTTTCTTGGTGACAGTTGATAGTGAATATTTTTCTGAAGGTAGAGGAAAGCTAAGATTGAAGGGCTTTTATTTGCCTCTGATTACTATTCTAAGAAAGCTATTCTAAGAAAAGAAACATTTCTGAATAGGCTAGTTACTAATTATATTTATCTTTTCCCTCTGTTGATTTCAGAGTGTTTTACAAAGGAAATCAGTATCATCTTCCCCATTCTAAAAATAGGGAAACATATCTATGAAGTGTCTTTCCCCAATTCATACAACAGGTGACCAGAACACAGATGTTTGGGATCCAAACTCATTGAGCAATCTACCAGGCCAGAGCCTTCCTCACCCCCATGCTTGAACCCAGTACTGTGAAGATTTTAGCTGGACAAGAGGCACTAGCTCTCTGTGTAACTAAGTCTTCTTTTCTTTTTGACTTTACAGTCTTTATTGCAGGTTACTCCATTCTTACTTACTGATATCATTCTCTCTGTCCTGCTGA